ATGTTGGGTGAAGCAATAAATTATATTATCTCCGACTACGCCACCTGAGAAAGTTCATCTCAAGAATTTAAAGGAGTAGTTCACTTAAAAAAAAAAAACTTTTGCTGATAATTTACTCACCCCCCATGTCTTTCTTTCTTTCTTCAGTCGAAAACAAATTAAGGTTTTTGATGAAAACATTCCACCATTTTTCTCCATATAATGGACTTCAATGGGAACCAATAGGTTCAAGGTCCAAAAGACAGTTTCAGTGCAAACTGTTCAAAGGGCTTTAAACGATCCTAGACGATGAATAAGGGTCTTATCTAGCGAAACGATCTGTCATTTAAAAAATAAATAAAAAAGTTTAAGTTTTATAAGCACAAACGTCTTGCTCTGTGATGCACGTTTGTGACTCTCCTGTTCAATCTCATTCATCAAAATGAATGAATCTAAAACTAAAACTTTGTTACATATATATATATTTTTTTTAAATGGCCGATCGTTTTGCTTGATAAAACCCTTATTCATCGTCTGGTGTCATTTAAAGCCCTTTGAACAGTTTGCAGTGAAACCTTGAACCGTTTGGTGGCCAGTAAAGTGCATTATATGGAGAAAAATCCTGGAATGTTTTCATCAAAAACCTTAATTTTTTTCGATTGAAGAAAGAAAGACTTGGACATCTTGGATGACATGATGAGTAAATTATCAGCATAAGGTTTTTTAAAAGTTAACTATTCCTTAGTTCCTTAGAAAGAGCAGTGATACGCAAAGTACAACTTTGATACACTTTGGTACAACAAAATACAACTATAATTAATTAATACAATTCCAAGAAGGGACCAACCATTTGGCCCCAACCCAGTTGTCACAAATCACAACTCAAAGAAACTGTATTAAATTAAATAAAGAGGTCACTAAAAAATTGGTCAAAGGAATTCGGCAGTGTAGCTCAACTGAGACACATGGATTCACTCATCTTAACCATTGAAATCAATTAAAGAAATAAACACAAGAACTACATCACACTGAGCCTAAGCCCAGAAAGTTCACTTTAAAACGAGCTCATGGGAAGCGTCTCAGTCCGTATAGATGCGAGATAATCAGTGCAGTGGAAACAGTTTATGATGAAGCAAGATGTTGGAGCAATCAGCACTTTAGGATGAGGCACAGAGCATAATACCTACTCATTCGGAACACAGCTATTGCCCTTAAAGCGTGCCTAAAAATAAAAACAGAAGTTGCACTGCGATTCATTCACCCTTGGCTTCACACTCGAGCAATATACTCAGCAAAACATGCTGTCCCCGGATCACTATCGCAAACTATGCGGTGTCTGCGACAAAACTCATAGGCAGGAACACAGCTACATGAAGTATAGTATACAGATTAACTTAGTCAGATACTCACTCAAAGCGACCCAAAAGCACCGTAGCACACAGCAGCACAGCCAATGGATAAGCAGCTTCAGTGGTGTTTATGGGCAACCCATTCAACAACACTGCACTCCAGTAAAGAAAACAGCAGCGCGTGAGGGATGACGCACATCAATGAACTCGCAACAGAGGCCAGGCCATTGGCCAAACCTCAAACAAGTAGGAGGGGCACATACATACATGCAGTTGTGCCCATAATTAATCATACCCTGGTAAATATGATAAAAAATGGCTGTAAAAAATAAACCTGCATCGCTTATCCTTTCTTATTCCAACCTTCCTGTGAAGTAAAAGAATTGAAAATGGGGGAGTCACGACAAGTCAAACCACGAACGACGTGCGAGTGATCTGAACTTTGTGAACGGCGTTCGGGGATCGACTTATCGAGACTATTTTCTAAGATGACTGTCTGTGGTCTGTATAGCCCATAGATATGTATATAAAGGCTAGAAGTGTTACGGTGGAGTTTCCATCGTCATCACCGGCGGCCATCTTGTCACAGACAAGCTGATGTAAGATGAGTGGTCAGCACGAACACAAATACTCTTATCTCGTTGAAATCTTGACGGATTTACAAACGGTTTTGCCACGTTATTATTACAAACGGTTTTGCCACGTTATTAATGTGGCTATAATTATCTGGATGATTATTTATTTATACACTTTTTATTCATAAGTATGCAGTACATAATAACTACATCTCTGACGTTTATAACAAAACAAACCGTTTGAAAATCGGTAGAAAATTTAGCAAGTTATGGTCATTTATATAGTACATGTAGGCCTACCATTAACACAATGTTACGAGTGAGCGAGCTACCTGTGACAAGATGGCCGCCAGGTGCAGACGTCGACCTCCATTGGCAGCAGCGTGGACGACATATCTAGCCTTTATATAGATATCTATGCTGTAGCGAAGTGAACTGTCTGTATAAAGTATCTTCTTATTAAACGGTCTGTACACTTGCTTGCAAAATGCTTCGTTTTGCATGTAGGGACCCTCATTATGTTACTGTGTGAGTGTGAGGCTATTTTGAGCCTTGTTAGTGGTATAAACTAGCGATTTCTTTTTACTTAGTAAATGCCCCCAGTACTAGCGTTATACGCTAAACAGTTTTTAGAGATAAAACTCTTTACATTCGATTATCATGAAACCAAATCTCAGAGAACAGTTGACTAGGTACCGATGATTTATTAGACCAAAGGTTCATTTTGCGCCGGAGTTCTCCTTTAAGTTGTTCTTCTACTAGTTTTGTAAAATAAAAAACAGTATTCTAATGTTTATTATTACTCTTCACCTATTATCTTTTAACTCAGTAGCGCTCTTGTACAGTTCTGTATGTTCCCTCTCTCCCTCTGTAGCCATTAGATGTTTCCATCCACCTATTTTTATGCAAAATGTTTGATATTGCAAAAAAAAAAAAAAAATCTGGATGCAAATGTGTGCATAATTTTTTAAAAATTAGGTATTTGCATGCAAACGTTATTTAAGCTCATAATAGGCTTGCACATGTATCTGCATCTCACTTAACTGTTAGGGGGTAACAAACAGTTATAAGACCCAGAACCAGATATGATGAAAGAAGACAAGGAGTCATGAGGTTTAATCAAATGGACACAAATTTACTGAAGAATAGTTTGCAATTTCATTGGTGGAGCGTCAAAGTCTCACTAGGAGGTCGCAAGCCAACTACCTTACACAAAATCACACACCAATTATACCATTTTGCAAGGGCACACATTCCATCATTGGTACTCCTGATTGGCTAAGAGAACATAAAAGCCAAAACAGTTTGACACATATGAGTGCCTATCGCAATTAGTCAAGATAAATGTTGTCCAACCCTTGATTTAGGTCTGCGGTGACCTTGTAGGTTAGAGAAGAGCGCATATGCGTCTGTGTGTTGTTCATCCAAACGTCCGAAACCTACAGAATGTCAAACACACACACAGACACAGAGCGCCACTAAGTAACAGCTCACTTCAAGGCTGAAGAGCCTGAGCTCATTATTATCAGTCCAGTCAACCAGAACATCATAAAACATTCACTCCTCAGGAGGAAAGGCAGATAATATGCAACTTACTCCCTAGAGAAATATGCTGGAGAGAATTTATGACAACAGATAAAAATGCACCTGAAAGAAGCTTGGTTACTCACACATGTTTTAAAAGTATAATTTCAGAAAGAATAAAGAAATGATTATGTGATAATATTTGATTATTGTGAGAGTAATATATAAGCACTCAAAAGGATATATTCGAATAGGAGACGTGAATGTTTTCAGATTTGTAACAGTTTTAGCTTAAAGGGATAGTTCACTTTGAATTAATTTTTGATATGTTTTATCTTACCTCAAGGGCATCCAAGATGTAGGTGTCTTTGTTTCCGCAGTAGTTTCAATTTTGATATTTTTAGGTCAAACCGTTGGTCTATCAGTCATATAATGGAGGTCTATGGTCACCACCTCGAAGAGCATGCACAGAGAAGTCGAAATTAAACATGATTTAATGACTTGTAAATGTAAGTACACATCGATGGCCTAAGATACAAAACGAGCGGTTTGTGTGAGAAAACAAACAGTATTTATATAGTTTTTACCTCTTACCACAGCCAAGTCCAAGTGATCTGTGGCTACAAGAGGTAAAACGATATAAATACTTTAAACAATATAAATACCAAACATTAATTTCAAAGTGAACTATCCCTTTAAGATTAAACATTTATTGGGCCGTTCATGTCTGATTTTGTCCTGATTTATATGGAGTGTTATTGCTCAACATGTCAGTCATGTTTGATGAGGACGCAGTATTGCATTTGAAAGAGTTGGATCTGAAGATGAATTCAGACATGATTTCATGATTTCAGACATTTGTTTTTTGTATGATAGAGTAGAGAAGAGGAATGAGTGAAACTCTTGCCACATGGAAAGCAGTGATACGGTTTCTCTCCAGTGTGGACCCTCTCATGTTGTTTCATTGATGTTGACCGACTGAATCTCTTGTCGCAGTGTGAACACTTGTAAGGTTTTTCTCCAGTGTGATTCCTCTGGTGCAGTTTCAGTTCAGCAGCTGTAATAAAAGTCTTTCCACAGTCAAAGCACATGTAATTCTTCACACCGCTGTGTATTTTCTGGTGGGTTTTTAAATTGCTCAGCCGACATTGCAGGGCTACAGACCATGACACTTGAAAGAGAGTAAATGCTAATAATGTTTTTTTGTTGTTTTATTGTGAAAGATTAATATTAAGTGGCATATTTAGTAGTGATTGTGTTGTTATGCTAATTTAGAATAATTTAGGTTTTAGGATGGTTACCACCATGGTGACAAGGGGTGAACGTGGCTTTGTTTGAGAGCAAATATATTAAAGTCTTTATATTGCTGCACTAATTAATTGCAAAACAAAGCAGTGTTAGATTGGATGGATCTAGATATCAGAGTACCGCCAGAAAATATCCCTTTTGTTTGGTGCCCAAACCCAGTAAAACTTGTCAATAGAAAGTCTTGTTTCAACATTTATTACCAGTCTTAGATCAGCCTGAGAGTTTGATTGAGAAAGCCATGGTAAAGCAAAAGCAGGAGACGAAGTGATGAGAATAAAAGAGCAAAGTTTATTGAATAATCTTAGTTGCATATGCTTCAATGCTCAGACTTCTACTAAATGTCAATGTCTCAATGCTAAGACTTCATACAATTCCGACAGGAGTCATTATACCAAAGCAAAAACTATGGAAAATTACTGTTTCACAACATTGTCCTGTGACATTAAACGCCTTGAATCCCTTATCCACACAATCATAAGATTAAACAACAACAGCATGCACTGCAAGAGCAAGGAAATAAAAAAGTTAATAAAAATGTATAAAAACATAAAATGACAAATTAATAATAATAGTAGGATTAAAAGCTAAATCAAATGACAAGTACATAAATGACTGAATATTATCATAAAATGTAATAGTATAAAAAAACAAAAAGACGGTTGCTCTTTTTTTTTTTACAATTGCTACAAAACCATTTCACCTGTACTAAAAAAATAAAATCAGATCATACACACATCAGTTAATATACACACTACAGATTGTTCATTAGACACTACAAAGAAATTGAGAACACAGCATCCATAACATGTCACAGACATTATCTTTTTATATTGCATACAGTAAACTAATTTTGAAATGATGTAAAAAGTAATCGCAACAGAGTAAGGTGAATATACTGTATAATGTACTGCAGGTATAGTATTGTATTGATTCTGTCCACAATCTTCTCTTTCCAAGCAAAGGGAAAACCATCTGGACTGACGAATTCACTCCTGACGACACGTTCTTTCTAGTCCTCATCCTCTTCCTCCTCATCTATTCTTTCCTCTCAGGCTATGTTTACACGGAAACGATTCTGAAGAGAAAACGCAAAAGTGGCATTGCGTTATCACTTTTTATTCTGCGTTTAGACAAGCGTTTTGGGTGGGAAATCCGCGTGCATATGGTGACGCAAAAAGTGTGTGATATTCAATGTAGTATGTACTCCAGGCAGCTAGGTGGCAATGTGGAGCACCAAGTCCACGCGCCAGCGTACAACCTTTACTGTCAAGCAGACTTTTGCGTTTTTTCCCTTTACACGGGAACACGGCGGTGGAGCGTTTTTAAGATTTCCACTCTGGAGGGTAATTTCACTTTTTTGCGTTTTTAGGCCCCAAAAACGCCTACGCCGTGTAAACGAAAGGCACATCCAATAAAATATTTTTACGTTTTCCCCCGCGAGCATTCTCATGTAAACAGGGCCTCAGAATTTCCCTCCATCGTTTAAATCAACAGTCTGCCTTCTAATCTGCCTTACATTTTGAGAAGTTTTAGTCGTTATGTGTAAATGATGACAACAGGGCTGTTTCCCGTACAACTATGTAGTTCGCTGCTTCACAACCATAGTATGATGTATCGCTGGAGAAATCAACTAGCTAGTCGTGACTGTTTCCCGAATCCCATTGTCGCAAAGTATCGTTCAACCACGTTGGTTTCACACGTGATGGAGTAATAACTACTTTTAATGAAACCGTTCGAGATCCAATTAATGCTAGATTTTTTAAAATATAAATTACAAACATGTTATCTTTTGCGTTATTACCAGACTCAATATTCGGCTTGTTCTTACATAGTAGAGCACGTTCGCACACTCTTCAAACACGGTACTTCAAATCTTTTGAAAAACTAAAAGACGTAAATGACATTTGTATGTATGTATTCTAAATAAAAGGCACCAGTTGTACTGAATGTCAGCTTGATTATTTTGCTCAAGATAAGGATTTATTACGTCCACATGTGATGCAATATAGAAACGATGCCTCTAACCACAGGTCGAGAGCCGTCGTTCAAACCGCACAACTTTGCGATGCTGTTTGCGAATGTTCGCTGGAAAGAGGGTTTCAGGAAACACCGATTCGTTGAACTATGCTGATAACGACGGAAATTGCGACCATAGTTGGCTAACGATGCTTTCGGGAAACACACCCGTTTGGTTTGTTTAACGTTTGCAACAAATGCAACAGTCCAATGTATTTTAGTGATTGAGTGCATGAGATTTGCAAATAGTGTCTAACTGCCTGAACTTGTTCAGGGTTCTACGCTATCTCACAACCAATTCGTACGAATTCGTCGAATGATTAAAAAGTGTCTAATTCGTACGATCTCACTTGTACGAATTTGTACGATTTGTCTAAACCCACGTGATGGTTAGGTTTAGGGGCGGGGTAAGGGGTAGGTCATTCGTACGAATTCATACGAATTGGCCAATTCGTAAAATATGTACGATTTAGCAAAATCGTACTAATTCGTACGAGTGAGGTCGTATTAATTGTTACGAATTAGCCACTTTTTAATCATTTGTCGAATTCGTACGATTTGGTCGTGAGATCGGGTTGGGTTTTGCAGAAAGAGGAATTTATTCAACACATTGGTTTAGGTCAATGAGAACTTGGTCCAAAGAATGGGGTTTAGTGTCTTAGCAATTGAAAAAAACTGTAAAGTAACACACACCGGTGACTTAGATCCTTCAGCAGTTGGCATATTGGTGACTTCTGAGGAGGACAGAAAACCAGATTCAGTTTACTCGAAGTTTATACATTCTCAAAAACTGAAGGGATTTCATAGTTTTATCTATTAGTTAGAAAGGGTATAACTCAATATTTTAACTAACTGCAAAAGCCTACTGATTAATCTGTGAAATAATGAATGAAACAGTCGATTAATCATTGCAATAGTTTTTGATAAATCAATTATCAAAAACACTGTTGACGCAGCACTACATAGCATCACACCTGGAAGTACAGGATAAGAAATCTAACTTACTGTAATTTTAGGAATGCATTTTCTTTTTATGTCCAATTAGAGTAGATAAATGGGTGAAACTCTTTCCACATGGATGGCAGTGATGCGGCTTCTCTCCACTGTGGATCTTCTCATGTATTCTCCGATATTCGGACCGCTTGAATCTCTTGTCGCAGTGTGAACACTTGTAAGGTGTCTCTGTACTGTGAACGGTCTGGTGAACTTTCAGTGCACCGTCTGTAAAAAAACGCTTCCCACACTCAGCGCAAGCATGATCCTTCACACCGCTGTGTCTTTTCTGGTGTATTTTTAATGCAGTCGTGTTACGAAAACCCTTTCCGCACAAGTAACACACGCACGGCCTCTCTTTCGTATGAACTTTCCGGTGATCCCTAAGGAAATCTGGCCTAAAGAATGTTTTGCTACATTGGTCACAGTTATAAACTCTTTCTCTAGAATGACTAAGCAGATGTACTTTATAAACACCTGACTTTATGAAACTCTTCCCACATTGATCACATGTGTGCAGATTCTCCCCAGTGTGGATTTTCATGTGATCCTTAAGGGCTCCTTTTCGAGCGTAACTCATCCCACACCGATCGCATGTGTGTGGCTTCACTCCAGTGTGGATTGACATGTGTTCGTTAAGGGTTGCTTTATGTGCGAAACTCTTCCCACATTGATCACATGTGAACGGTTTCACTCCAGTGTGGCTTTTCATGTGTTCGTTAAGGTTTCCTTTATGTCTGAAACTCTTCCCGCACTGAACACACGTGTACGGCTTCTCCCCAGTGTGGATTTTCATGTGTACGTTAAGGTTTCCTTTATGTGTAAAACTCTTCCCACACTGATCACATATGAATGGCTTCTCTTTAGTATGGTTTGTCATGTGTACGTTAAGGTTTCCTATTTGAGTGAAACTATTTGTAGCCTGATCATAGGTGTACAGCATCACTCCCGTGTGGATTTTCATGTGTGCGGTAAGGTTTCCTTTATGTGTGAAACTCTTCCCACACTGATCACATTTGTGCGGCTTCTCTCCGCTGTGGGTTTTTATGTGCAAGTTAAGGTTTCCTTTTTGTGCAAAACTCTTCCCGCACTGATCGCATGAATACGGCTTCTCCCCAGTGTGGATCCTCATGTGATCGTTAAGGTTTCCTTGATACGGGAAACTCCTCCCACATTGCTCACATGAGAACGGCTTCGCTAAAGTGTGTATTTTCCTGTGCTCGTCAAGTGTTTTTTGTTGCGCAAAACACTTCCCACACTGCTCACATGTGTACGGCTTCTCTCCAGTGTGGATTTTCCTGTGTTCGTCAAGGTTTCCTTTTATTGTGAAAATCTTATCACACTTATCACACGCGTACGGCTTTCCTCCACGATGAAATTTTAGGTGAAGATTAAGATTTTGCTCGCATGAGAAACCCTTTCCACACTGACGACAAATGAAACTAGTTTTGTCTTCTCTGTTCAATGAGGGACTCACAGGTTCTTCTTCAGTTTTTATATGTTTCTTCCCCGCTTCAATCAGTTCTTCAATCGCCTTGTACTCTTCCATCAGGTCTAAAATGAACGTAAAAAAAAAAAGTTAAGTTACATTTTCAGCAAATCATTCAAATAAAAGTGAAATGTGAAAGGAAAAGGACATGGGAACGCTGACATAACAGTAGACAGTCGGTACCGATATACCACCAAAAGTACACGATACCATGGTAAAATAAATATAATAATAATACTTAAACATTAACTTTGAGAAAGGGGGCATTTTTATACATAAAAATTGCTCTCAACGTATTTGTTTTATGAGGTAATTCTTGGAGGACTATATGCAATAGTCCATAATAAAACAATGAATAAACACATTAGAAGCAGTAGCATAAATAAATACAGTAGAAAAAAAGATTCAAATTAAACAAAGCTGTATATTTTCAGGCCGGTCTAGCAGTAGTTTACGATTAAAAATACCACAGAAATTGAATAATTAAATATAAAATAACTCTTGGCCGATATATGTTCATTTTTAATGTTATCGTTATCGCCCTGTTAAGAAAATGTGGCCGATATATTAAAGCCGATAAATAATGTATTATTCCCTTCAGCTGAGACACTTGTTGAGGCTCACTGTTTGTTTTTGAATTTCTTGAAATATGATTGAAATCTCTTCAAAAAGTGAAAATACGCAAATAGTGCAAATCTGTCATATCGGCTATACAACACTATAATGAGAACATCATTATAATTGTGTGCTTGGGACATGGATTTAATTGTGAGACTTTTGTTTTTGTAATCAGGCTCTCAAAATTAAAATTAAAGATAAAAATTTGGATTTAAGTTTATCGGCCGATATATCGGTTATATCGGCTTTCAAATATAAAGAATTATCGGTATCGGCCAAAACTTTCATATCGGTGAATCCCTATTAAATATATTAATCCTTTAAGCTATTCTTTTGTGGTTTGATTATCAATTATAATACAGGCATCCTGTGAGTGCGCATCGCAAGAATTCCAGTCAACTCGCTCCATGTCCAATTAAAACAAAAATAATTCACATGCACCGTTTTCTTCATGTAAATTCTTCCTTTAATCCAACTCGTTAAATAAAACAAAGAAAAGAAACCAAATATAATCTTAAATCCTAAATATATCACGGATGCGGTAAAGAAAACTGTGCGACTCCACTCTATTTCCTATACAGAACGCACAACCGCCTCACTTACAGTCGCAATTCTTAAAGGGCCAGAGTAAAATTTTTACACATACCAAATTTCAAGGTAAATATAAAGAATATTTGTCTAATTAGTACACACAAAGAAAGAAAGTTACAATCAAAACACAAATATTAAAATACTGAAATACAACAAATAATATGAAATAATTGTCACTGAACAAAAGCAAAATTAGGCTCCTACACATCCAATAAGAGAAAGTAGAAGGTTTTGGCGCATAAACCCAAAATAAATGTCATATTTACCTGTGCCCTTCCTATCTGTATACAGAAATTGAATAGTTATCAGACAGTCTGCACTGGATAAATTTTAACTTAAATATAGTTTAATCCTTATTAAAGCTACACAAATTCTCTGCTGATTCTCATTCTCTCACAACTCTTCATGTTCATTTTAGACTGCTCTTGTGAGGATACTTGACAAAACCAACATATATAAATATTATATGTGTAAATAAATGTGTTATTTTTCGTTCAAGCACAAAAGTTATTTGTGTTATTTTTAGAACTCAATTCTGGCGAGCACGATCCTGGTGCGCGTATTTCTCTGTGCCGTGTGTGAATAAAATAAATATTTGCTAAAGGAATTAAGCCAACTAATTTCAAACTGATTTGAATGTCACATCAATCTTTGCGTAATGATGTCATGTAAATAAACAGGAAGACGAAATCTTTTCAGGAGAACTTACACACATAATCATCATAATACAAACAAGCACAACATACAAACATAAAACATTTAACACATCATAGCATTCAGGTCTTTCTCTAATTTGGAAAATTGTACGACTGTACATAAGGCAAGTTACAATTCGGTACTGAAATTTAAAAACAAAATGTGACAAATGTGTGAATTTTCCTCTAGCATTTTGAGCGATGTTAAACAGTTTCTTAACACCTCTGACTGGCCATTGCGTTCACACGCTCAACATTTATGTCTCACAAATACATCATACATCGTAAACGTGCAACAAATAATAAACTTATCACAAAAGGACACAGAATAGTACCAGCGCGGTCCTTTGAAGAGCGTGACCATACAATGCCAGATAACGAGTGACAGAAAAAAAAACGTATACTGCGTAAATGCGTTAATTATTTTTAACTATTTAAACTTTCTTTTTTTCCGGGGGCAAGTGATGAAACCGGTGTTGCGACTGAACACCGTGTAACACCTGTAACACCGACCATCATAGCAAGCCTACAACACACCCCTTCTGGTGTTTTGTCCATTACTCGACAAGGGAAAATTGCAATCGAGGATTTTCTAAAATGTAGTACTTTAATTTAATCAAGGAATACACACAGTGATGTCTATGATAGCGGCAATAACAAACTGTTCCATTGTAATTTGACCGTGTTTTATTCATATCAGATAAAATTTGTGTGGGTAACTGTGGAGTTCACCATATTCATCTTCCAGTTCACCGGCCACTTACTTTCATGTATTTCAGGAGAAGTAGATGAACTAATGTGTTGTAAATCAGATTCTCTGAACAAACATGGTGGCGCCCATAACGCATTATAGAATTAACATGACCATTATAAAAAGGAATTGAAATGACAAAACACATTCACTTACAGATATTTGATGTTTCAAAATCTAGTTTACAATATATGTGAATATTTTAAATAAAAAAAAGAAACATTAAAAGCGATACTTCTGTCATACAGCTCTATTGAGTCTGCGGTGTTTCGCGTCACAAGCATGACGCCTCGGCATGGAAATGTGAAAGATACTCAGCAAGAATATTTAAAAATGATGTGTGAAATGGTCTAAATCCAATGTAACTGCAATCACTGAATCTGATGAAAGATAAACACCAACCTATTTGTTCTTCGATAACTTCCTCCTTTATTATGCAGGGTTCTGGATCATTCATGTTTTCAAATTTCTTCTTCACTTGTAGGCCGGTGGGAATATTTCAGCATTTACTGGTGAATCGCTGCGGGAGGAGCAGCAACCGAACTATCCAAACATAAATTAATTTAATTAGTTTAAAAACAAGTTCACTTTCTACATATCTATATATTTTGTCTGCATCAATCATATTATCTTGAAGAGGCTTTTGAGCAGCTGTTAATTGTGACACTCCCTCTTATTAAACCTTACCAGCGAAATTTTATTTACCACAGTTATAACAACTTCTTTACAGCAGCATATGTCCAATGAACCTAAATATAGTTCAATTAACAAGTCATTGCAATGTCATAAAAAAATCTGACAAATAACTTGCAGATGTTTTTTTTCTATGAATAGAAACGGCTCTTTAAATAAAGTTAAAGAGCATGACAAAGCAACATTTTTATCTTTACAATGTAAACTTTCTTCACATATTCAGACTTTCCTCTTGTAATGGTTTTAAAGTAACAGCTGCTGAAAAGCCTTTTTGTGTCCGAAATAGATATTAATGTTGAAAATAACAAACAAAAGAAAACATCTATTCCTATTATCTACTCTCACAAGGTCATACTTTGACTTTTGATCAAGTGCCATATCAGTAAATACCCTTATTGCGCCAAACATAGAAACAATCATACAGACGAACATACAAAAACACACAATAATCGCTCAGATCTTAATTAGTTTAACATTAGTTCCTCACATCGTTACCTGGTAGGCTATGTTTATATCATTCGGCAGACGCCACAAAAGGCGCACAAACAGATTTGTAGCAGATGAAAAACTTAGAGAAAAGACCCTGTAAAATGTTGTTAAAAACAAAGTGTGCGTTTTTTATAAAACAGCATAAACACACGAAGCACCGTCAACAGCTTATCTTAGCTCAAAAGGCTAACACTGATGGCGGTGCGGTAGTGGTGACGTCGTCTTCTTCTTATTATTTTATGGCGGATCGCAGACACAAATTGCATTACCGCCACCTATCGCCCGGGTGGATGTCATGCATTGAACGTCCTGCAGTTTTTTCGATTTGTTCTACGAAAAAGTATATACATTTATAACAATATACTTTACATTTTATTACCTTTGCATTAAATAATATTAAGCACAAAAGAGAACTCGATTCTGGCGAGCACGATCCTGGTGCGCGTATTTCTCTGTGCCGTACGGTGTGTGAATAAAATAAATATTTGCTAAACTACATTTTATTACCTTTGCATTAAATAATATATATTTTTTTAAAGTTAGCGCTGCTGTGAGGGTGTTTCTAATACAACGGCTGTGGCGGAAACGTGGTAATATTGAAATTTTTCTCACTTCTGACTGTCTTTATCAATCTTTCTCTATTTTTTCTTCTTTTTTAAAGTTGTGAAAAAACTATTGTGGCGTTTTATTTTGCTATTTAAGCAAATGGGAGCATAAAAAATAATGTAGTCTCTTCATTTACCATGTGATATTAGCTTACCCGGTGACGACTTCCGCTTTTGAGAAACCTGGAAAAATTGTGAAAATATGTACAAATACATATATAAACCTGATTTATCTGAAATAATCAATGAGCAGTCGATTAATCTTTCTAATAATATTTGATTAATCGATTATCAAAATCTCTGATGCATCACAAATGGAAGTACAAGTTCAGAGCTCAACACTACTTTTTTAATGAAAGATTCTTTACACATGAATGTTTCTCTCCAGTGTGAATCCTCTCATGTATTTTCAGATATACCGACCTTTTAAATCTCTTTCCACAGTGTGAACACTTATAAGGTATTTCTGTAGTGTGAACTGTCTGGCGCATGATCCTTAACATTGCTGTATTTTTTCTGCAGTAAATCTAAGTCGTTTTGTATGTTTGATTGCAGAGTGCTTTAAAATAAAGCACTCGGCTCACTAAACACATTCCACAAAAACAACATATTTAAATTAAATGCCAGATTCACATTTTTTTTACTGTACTGGTCAGTTATATTTGATTGTTTTTATATACTTGATTTTCTCTAACTCTTCCCATATGGATCATGTGTACGGCTTCACTCCAGTGTGGATTTTAATGTGTACGTTAAGGTTTCCTTTATGTGCGAAACTCTTCCCACACTGATCACATTTGTGCGGCTTTACTCCAGTGTGGATTTTCAAGTGTTCGTTAAGGTTTCCTTTTTGTGTGAAACTCTTCCCGCACTGATCACATGTGTGTGTCTTCTCTCCCATGTGGATTTTCATGTGTTCATTAAGGTGCTCTTTTCGTGTGAAACTCTTCCTACATTGATCACATATGTGTGGCTTCTCTCCAGTGTGGGTTTGCATGTGTTCGTTAAGGGTTGATTTATGCGCAAAACTCTTCCCACACTTTCCACATGTGTACGGCTTCTCACCAGTGTGGGTTTTCATGTGTACGTTGAGGTTTCCTTTTAGTGTGAAGCTCTTCCCACACTGATCACAAGAATGTGGCTTCTCTCCAGTGTGGACCCTCTCGTGTATTTTCAGATATACCGACCGTTTAAATCTCTTGTCGCAGTGTGAACACTTGTAAGGCGTCGCTGTAGTGTGAACGGTCTGGTGAACTTTCAGTGCACTATCTGTAAAAAAAGTCTTTCCACACTCAGAGCAACCATGATCCTTCACACCGCTGTGTCTTTTCTGGTGTACTTTTAATGCACCCATCTGACTAAAACTCCTTCCACACAAATAACAGACGTAAGGCTTCTCCTTTGTATGAACTTTCAGGTGATCCTTCAAGAAATCTGCCCTAAAAAATGTTTTACCACAGTGGTCACAGTTGTGTAGTCTTTCTTTAGAATGAGTAAGCAGATGTACTTTATAAACACTTGATTTAATGAAACTCTTCCCACATTGATCACATGTGTACGGCTTCTCTCCAGTGTGGATTCTTATGTGATCAGTGAGCTGTCTTTTTTGCGTGAAACTCTTCCCACACTGATCACATGTGTACGGCTTCTCTCCAAAGTGGATTTTCAAGTGATCCTTAAGGGTTCCTTTTTGTGTGAAACTCTTCTCACATTGATCACATGCATATGGCTTCTCCCCGGTGTGGATTTTCATGTGTTCATTAAGGTTTCTTTTTATTGTGAAAATCTTCTCGCAGTGATCACATGAGTACGGCTTCTCTCCAGTGTGGATTCTAATGTGTTCATTGAGGATTACTTTTTGTGTGAAACTCTTTCCACACCGATCACACGTGTACGGCTTCTCTCCAGTGTGGATTTTCATATGCTTGTTAAGGTTTCCTTTTTGTGTGAAACTCTTCCCACATTGAGCACATGTGTACGGCTTCTCTCCAGTGTGGATCCTCATGTGTTCGTTAAAGGTTTTGTTTTGTGAGAAGCTCTTCCCGCACTGATTACATGTGAAAGGCTTCTCTCCAGTGTGAATTCTAATGTGAAGTTCAAGACTTTGCTTGTATGGGAAACTCTTTCCACACTCAGGGCAAGTGAAACATAATTTGTCTCTTTTCAGTGAGGATTTATCTTCAGTTTTGACACGATGTTTCTCCCCCACTTCAAACGGTTCTTCAATCTCCATGTTCTCTTCTATCAGGTCTAAAATGAAAGTTAACCGAAAAAAGTTTAAACATTTTTTCAGTAAATAAGAGTAGTAAAAACTCTATTGGCTATTTAAAAAAATGGGGAGTAGATGCTCAATATGTCTCAGGCTGTCTAGCCTGTTTCAGGGGAAATTACACCAACACACTGAATAACACTTCACATTTCAATGGTCCTCATTGGGCCTTTAAGATTTATAACCTTATTGAAGAATCAAGAATAAACACCAACCACTTTGTTCTTCTGTATCTTCCCGTTTTATTCTGCAGGGTTCTGGATCATTCATGTTTTCAATCTCCTTCACTTGTAGGCTGATGGAAATATTTCAGTATTTATTGATGAATCACTGTGGGAGGAGCAGATCTGCAAAAATCTAAAAAAAAAATAAAAAAATTGATGCTTTCATTAATACACACACTTAAAGCATTTTATTAGCTTATCTATACAACTATCAAACTTTAAGTTTTAAATCAAATTCACATATTTTACACATCTATACTTTGTCTGTGGGACAATCTATTTTTAACATTATTAACCATTTCTGACATGAGGAGGCTTTTAAGCAGATGTTAATTTAAATCCATCATAAGAGGTACATGAATCTGAGGATGTAGATAAATAGTAGAAGGAACGGGACCATGACATTGGAAACATTTAAATATTGCTGTCGTATTCTTTCACTTTATTGAAAGAGCTGTTTCTGTACTTAGAAAATAAACAGTAACAAGTTAATTATATTTTTATGACTACGTTATTTAATTTGTTTTAAAACAAATATATTATATATTTTATCTACATTTTTTAAAGCCACTTCGTGTCAGAAAATAGAAATGAATGTTAAAAATAGATTTACCAACAAGCAAAAGAAAAAGAGATTTTAATTTTAACCCCTTTTAATTCCTCCTACAGATCCTAGTTTGACTTTTCATCAAGTGACATATTAGTAAATACCATTATTGCTCCAAACATAGAAACAATCATACAGATGAACATACAAAAACACACAATAATCGCTCAGATCTTTGAATTTAACATTATAGTTCCTTACATAGTTGCCTGCAATGGTAATGTTTGTCAGTCAACAGATGCAAGAAAAGACCCACAAATATCTATGTAGCATATGAATATAGAATTCAGAAAATACCCTGTAAAATGTTGCTTTAACAAGCTGTGTTATTTTTTGTAAATATGTATAAACATACGAAGCACAGCGAACTGCTTACCTCACATCAAAGGAGAGACGTACGGTGGATCGTAGACACGGGGCATTACCGCCACCTATCGCCCGGGTGGACCATGGACCCTTTTCACAGACTGATGCGTTGCTGTTACATTGTCCTGTTACTGTTACGTTACCTGTCCTGTTACATTCTAAATCCTGCAAAGTTTTTTTTTTTTTTTTGTATTGTTTTAAGTATGTACATTTAACAATAGACTATACTTTGAATTAAATTACCTTTGCATCAAATTACAACAAAAAAGTTAGTGCTGTGAGGGTAGTGGTGCCTTCACGTGTTATTCACGTAAACAGAATATAGGATGTGCATCAGTGCAATTGGCTTTATGCCCAGCTGCACTACTTCCTGAACTTCAGCCAGCTCCTTGTTTCCTGTCTGCCATTATTGGCCAAATTGATTAATTCAGGTGTGTCTGATTATTGTTGCCATGACTACTGAGGTCAAGCACACCTGAATTAATCAATTTGACCAATAATGGCAGACAGGAAACAAGGAGCTGGCTGAAGTTCAGGAAGTAGTGCAGCTGGGCATAAAGCCCATTGGATAAGCACATTCGGTCTTAAAGTGACAGTGCATAATAAACCTAATGCCATCTGTGCCCTTAATATTAATCAAACAACAAAAGAAAAAGAGAAAAGTATTCACTGCTCTTTAATAAGGATTAATTATATTTCATTTATATTGCATTTGAGTGATGCCGTCTATGTTACACCGTGTATTTAGAAAAGTTTTCTTAATAGTCTATTGTTAGCAGTTTTTCTTAACTTATTTCACCATCTGTAAAGCACTTTGGATCAACAAATGTTGTGTTTATGTAGTGCTCTATAAATAAATTGACTTGACTTGTTTGTAATATTTTATCTACAACATGTGATTATATATTCTGAAATATGGCCCTTTTGTTTTTCTTTTTCAGTTCTGAGCAAAGTTGGCTTATTGATGACTTCTGACGACAGAAAACCTGAAGGAGATAGTTAAATTCAATTTACTCAAAGTTTATTACAAAGAAGTTTCAAGTTTCCTTGTTTTATTTATTAGTTAGAATGAGTATAACCCAACAATTTAAACTGCAAACGCTGGATAAGTGATATATATGCCAACTGCAAACGCTGGATAAGTGATCAAAGCCTACTAATTAATCATTCAATTAAACTTTGATTAATCGATTATCAGAATAATCTCTGATGCTGCACTATTCAGCATCACACCTGGATCAGAGCTCGAACTACTTAATGTATTACCAGGCATGCATTTTTTTTTATGAAAGATTAGAGAAGATAATTGAGTGAAACTCTTTCCACATGAATGGCAGTGATACGGCTTCTCTCCGGTGTGGATCCTCTCATGTATTTTCAGATATATTGACCGTTTGAATCTCTTATCACAGACTGAACACTTATAAGGTTGTACTCTAGTGTGAACCGTCTGATGCACTTTCAGTTCACTTTCTGTAAAAAAAGTCTTACCGCACTCTGAGCAAACATGATCCTTCACACCACTGTGCCTTTTCTGGTGTAATTTTAAAGCACTCGGCTCACTAAAACTCTTTCCACATAATGAACACACATGAGGCTTCTCCTTTGTATACATCTTCAGGAAATCTGCCGTAAAAATGTTTGTACCGCACTGGTCACTGTTACATAGTCTTTCACTAGAATGAGCACACATATGTACTCTAAAAACACTCGATTTCCTGAAACTCTTCCCACATTGATCACATGTGTACGGCTTCAATCCGGCGTGTCTTTTAATGTGTACGTTAAGGTTTCCTTTATGTATGAAACTCTTCCCACACTGATCACATTTGTGCGGCTTTACTCCAGTGTGGATTTTCATGTGTTCCTTAAGATTTCCTTTTTGTGTGAAACTCTTCCCACACTGATCACATTTGTACGGCTTCTCTCCAGTGTGGATTCTCATGTGTTCATTCAGGTGCTCTTTTTGTGTGAATCTCTTTCCGCACTGACCACATGAATGCGGCTTCTCCCCAGTGTGGAACCTCATGTGTTTGTAAAGGGTTGCTTTATGCGCAAAACTCTTCCCGCACTGATCACATGTGAACGGCTTCTCCCCAGTGTGGCTTTTCATGTGTACGTTAAGGTTTCCTTTATGTATGAATTTCTTCCCACACTGATTACATGCGAATGGCTTCTCACCAGAGTGGATTTTCATGTGTTCGTTGAGGTTTCCTTTTAGTGTGAAGCTCTTCCCGCACTGATCACATGCATATGGCTTCTCTCCAGTGTGGACCCTCTCGTGTATTTTCAGATATACCGACAGTTTGAATCTCTTGTCGCAGTATGAACACTTGTAAGGTGTCTCTGTAGTGTGAACGGTCTGGTGAACTTTCAGTGCACTATCTGTAAAAAAACGCTTCCCACACTCAGAGCAACCATGATCCTTCACACCGCTGTGTCTTTTCTGGTGTACTTTTAATGCACCCATCTGACTAAAACTCCTTCCACACAAATAACAGACGTAAGGCTTCTCCTTTGTATGAACTTTCAGGTGATCCTTCAAGAAATCTGCCCTAAAAAATGTTTTACCACATTGGTCACAGTTGTGTAGTCTTTCTTTAGAATGAGTAAGCAGATGTACTTTATAAACACTTGATTTTCGGAAACTCTTCCCACATTGATCACATGTGTACGGCTTCTCTCCAGTGTGGATTCTTATGTGATCAGTAAGGTGTCTTTTTTGTGCAAAACTCTTCCCACATTGATCACATGTGTGTGGCTTCACTCCCGTGTGGATTCTCATGTGATCGTTAAGGTTTTCTTTTCGTGTGAAACTCTTCCCACACTGATCACATATGTGTGGCCTCTCCCCAGTGTGAATTTTAATGTGTTCGTTAAGGGTTGCCTTATGCGCAAAACTCTTCCCGCACTGATCACATGTGAACGGCTTCTCCCCAGTGTGGCTTTTCAGGTGTACGTTAAGATTTCCTTTATGTGTGAATCTCTTCCCACACTGATGACATGTGTACGGCTTATCTCCAGTGTGTATTTTCATGTGTACGTTGAGGTTTCCTTTTTGAGTGAAACTCTTCCCGCACTGCTCACACTTATACGGCTTTTCCCCAGTGTGGATTCTCATGTGATCCTTAAGGGTTCCTTTTTGTGTGAAACTCTTCCCAGACTGATCGCATATGTGTGGCTTTTCTCCCGTGTGGATTTTCACATGTTTATTAAGATTTCCTTTTTGTGTGAAACACTTCCCACACTGCTCACATGTGTACGGCTTTTCCCCAGTGTGGATTCTCATGTGATCCTTAAGGGTTCCTTTTTGTGTGAAACTCTTCCCGCACTGATCGCATATGTGTGGCTTTTCTCCCGTGTGGATTTTCTTGTGTTCATTAAGGTGCTCTTTTCGTGTAAAACTCTTCTCACACTGATCACATGTGTACGGCTTCTCCCCAGTGTGGATTTTCATGTGATCATTAAGGTTTCCTTTTTGTGCAAAACTCTTCCCGCACTGATCACATGCGTATGGCTTCACTCCAGTGTGGATTCTTATGTGATCCTTGAGGGTTCCTCTTTGCGTGAAACTCTTCCCACAATGATCACACGTGTGCGGCTTTTCTCCTGTGTGGATTTTAATGTGCTCATTAAGGGTTGCTTTAAGAGCAAAACTCTTCCCGCATTGATCACATATGTGTGGCTTCTTCCCAGTGTGGCTTTTCATGTGAGCCATAAGGGTTTCTTTTTGTGCAAAACTCTCCCTGGATTGATCACATGTTAACAGCTTCTCTCTAGTGTGGATTTTCACATGTTTGTTAAAGTTTCCTTTTTGTGTGAAACTCTTCCCACATTGAGCACATGAATACGGCTTTTCTCCAGTGTGGATCCTCATGTGTTCGTTAAGGATAACTTTTTGTCTGAAACTCTTTCCACACTGATCACATGTGTGCGGCTTCTCTCCAGTGTGGATTTTCACATGTTTGTTAAGATTTCCTTTTTGTGTGAAACTCTTCCCGCATTGACCACATGTGTACGGCTTCTCTCCAGTGTGGATTCTCATGTGTTCAATTAGGGTTCCTTTTTGAGTGAAACTCTTATCACACTGATCACATGCGTAAGGCCTCTCTCCAGTGTGGATTTTCATGTGTTCATTTAGATTTCTTTTTATTGTGAAAATTTTCTTGCAGTGTTCACATGTGTACGGCTTCTGTCCAGTGTGAATCCTCATGTGTTCATTAAGGATGACTTTTTGTCTGAAACCCTTCCCACACTGTTCGCATGTGTACGGCTTCTCACCAGTGTGTATTTTAATATGTTTGTTAAGGTGTCCTTTTTGAGAAAAACTCCTCCCACATTTATCACACGAGTACGGCTTCTCTCCAGTGTGGATCCTCATGTGTTCATTGAGGATTACTTTTTGTCTAAAACACTTCCCACACTGAATGCATGCATGCGGCTTCTCTCCAGTGTGGATTTTCACATGTTTGTTAAGGTTTCCTTTTTGTGTGAAATTCTTCCCACATTGAGCACACGTGTACGGCTTCTCTCCAGTGTGGATCCTCGTATGTTCGCTAAGGGTTCCTTTTTGTGTAAAACTCTTCCCGCACTGATTACATGAGAAAGGCTTCTCTCCAGTATGAATTCTCATGTGAAGTTCAAGACTTTGTTTGTACGGGAAACTTTTTCCACACTGAGGGCAAGTAAAACATATTTTGTCTCTTCTTGTCAATGAGGGACTCAAATATTTTTCTTCTGTTTTGATTTGTTTCTCCTCCACTTCAAACAGTTCTTCAATCTCCTTGTTCTCTTCTATCAGGTCTAAAATGAAAGGATAACAAGTTTAAACAAATTCAAGTTTTATTTTCAGTAAATCGTTAAAAAAAAGAAAGAAATGTGAAAGGACATGTGAACCCTTACATAATAGTAGAAAATAAGAACATGTTGATGCATTCATTTGTATTTGAAGCATTCATTCAGTTGTTCAATATATTTCTTAAAACATTACCAGCACAAATTAGAGGCTTTGTAGTGAGAACTATTTGATATGTTTTATTAACTGTATTTTAGAAGTCAGGGTTGTAACATGTTAAAAAAATTTAGTAATATCTGACAAAATATAAATATAGCTGCAAACAGCAATTATCGTGACCAAGCACAAAGAACACAGACTGGGAGCAGTCTGACTCCCAACTGCAACACCAATTGCAACTGACTCCCAATTGCAACAACGAGCACTTAAATACAGTTTAAGTTGATTTTATGCAAAATCATTATTATTATTTATTGTCATTGCAAGTACAACGAAATTGCGTTAGAGCAACAATCAACAGTGGTTTTCCACAAAGTGCAAAAGATCATCAATAAAAACAGTTGGCTGCAAAAT